GTGCCTCAGGGTAACCGGGCCCCTGAGGGCCATGAAGTGCCCGTCGTCTGAGCCCGTCTCCACAATGGTACCCACTCCGCTCTTCAGCGTGATCTTGGAGAGGATGTCGTCGCCCAGGTTGCCCAGCACTCTGCTGGCGTTGGCCAGCTGGGCGCAGCGCAGGTAGACCTCGTTGTGCGCCATCATCCGGACGAACTCAAAGACCTGCTGCCCGCCGGAGACAAAGCTCGGGCCCAGCATGTGGTCCACGCTGAAGGGCTTGGTGGGAGAGGCGGGCGGCGCAGCAGGGTAGTCCGCGGCATCAGGGAATTGCTGGCGCAGCTCCAGCTCGTTCAGGATGAGCCGGTTGCCGTCATAGGCAACGCTCAGACTGTTTGTGGTCTCGCTATAGGCGGCGGTGGCAAAGTTGGAGCTGATCCAGGCGGCCAGCCGTGCGCCAGTGTACGCGCCCTCGGGCAACAACGCCCAGTTCAGCGTGCCCAGCGCGGCTGCGACGGAGGTGCAGCAGGAGATGTTCTCACACTTCGCGTTGATCAGCGTGGAGCTGGCGAACAGCTTCTGGCCCAGGAAGCTGAGCGCCGCTCCCATCGGCGTCTTTTTCAAGTGCAAAACGCTCTTCAAAGCGCTTGTAGAACATTTCATTCCTCGGCTTCAGGTAGTAGACAAAGAGGAAACTGTAGGGTTCCCGCGTTGGGTACAGCTGCTCCTTTGGCAGCAGGGTGAGGTTCTCAATAACGGCGTCCAGCTCGTGCTGGTTGCGCAGCCTCCAGCAGCAGAGGAATTGCATGTTCACCCGCACGGCTGCGCTGATGAGCCTCAGCTTCTGCGAGCTCACCCAGGTGCTGATCTGCATGTGCCGGCCCCTGATGAAGAGAGTGTCCAGGGCGCCGTGAGGCTTGTGCAGCTGCGGCGTGTCAGCAAAGTCGTCGATGACTACAAGCACCTGGTACAGTTTCTTCATTTCCAACTTCTTGGACGCCTCCGTGATCTTGCGCTGCTGCTGGATGATGCGCCGCAGCGCCGCCTCGTCCCACTCGTCCCAATACGTCTGCTCCCGCTCTGTGTTCACCCCCAGGTCCTCCTCAATGTACTTCTTGACGGGGATCCAGCCGTCGTCTATGTTGACACTCGGGCTGAAGATGTAAATTCTCTCAAAGACGCCGCGATACTGCTCCAGAATCAGGCTGATCAGAGCCACGGTTTTGCCCGATTTTGATGGCCCGAGGAAGATGCCCGTGCATGGCACCAGGGGCACCACGGGGTCAGAGGCCTGCTTACTGCTATACTCTGTCGTATATTCCTTTGCGTTACTTGCCAAATTTGAAGCCGGGAAGCCGGGCGGACGCGCACTGCTATACAGCAGGGCGCTGACGGAGTTTTCCGGGCGGCGAGTCCGGGAGTGCGTCTCTGTGTAGAGACGCGCTTCCAGAGTTTTCTGGAAGACACCGGGGCAATCCTGTGCCCACGCCAGGATTGAGTGAAGCAATCCTGTGCCCACGCCAGGATTGAGGAAGCAATCCTGTGCCCACGCCAGGATTGAGTGGAGCAATCCTGTGCCCGTGAATGGTGAAAAAAAACACCGGGAGTTATGCTGCGAGGACAGCATAACTCCCGGACCTTCGGCGCTGGCCCGGTGATGGGTTTTTCGGGCAAAAAAAAGCGAAGTCGGAAAACCGACCTCGGTGTAGAGCGAAGTCGGAATTCCGACCTCGGTGTGGTGCAGGCTCGGCAGGCTGGAGGCTTCTATGCCGGGCAGGTGGCACGGCTCGGCAAACTCGAAACTTGTCTTAGGAGTCCAGACACCCCCCTGAGACACTTGAGACACTTGAGACACTCGAGACTTGTCTCAAAAGTTTAGACACGCCTGAGACACTTGAGACACTTGAGACTTGTCTCAGAAGTCCAGACACCCCCCTGAGACACTTGAGACACTTGAGACTTGTCTCAGAAGTCCAGACACCCCCCTGAGACACTTGAGACACTTGAGACACAGATGCTGCTCAATTGCCACAGAACATAGCACCTCTCTGGCACTTGTCCGTCCAGCATTTGACCTCGTCCTGCGAAGGATTCGAAGTCTAAAACGCTGCGTGCAGGCGTGTGGCTGCAAAATAATGACCCCTAGATATGCGGTTTGGCAAAATGCCCAGCAGCTGCCTTTGTTTCTGCAAGGCGAGCGCCCTCAAAAGGAAACCCTGGCTGGCTTTTTTGGTTGGCTTCTGGCTGGCTTTCTGGCTGGCTTGGCTTGGCTCCTGGCTGGCTTTCTGGCTGGCTTTCTGGCTGGTTTGGCTGGCTTCTGGCTGGCTTTCTGGCTGGTTTGGCTTGGCTTCTGGTGGCTTTCTGGCTGCTTTCTGCCTGGTTTGGTTTGGCTCCTGGCTGGTTTGGTTTGGCTGGTTTGGTTTGGCTTCTGGCTGGTTTGGTTTGGCTTCTGGCTGGCTTTCTGGCTGGTTTGGTGGCTTCTGACTGACTTTTGGCTGGTTTGGCTTGGCTTTCTTTTCCCTGTTGTTTTAGCTCGCCTTGCGAAACGCTTGGGCATTTTGCAAGCATTTTATTTTGCAGCCACACGCCTGCACGCAGCGTTTTAGACTTCGAATCCTTCGCAGGACGAGGTCAAATGCTGGACGGACGACAAAAGTGTCCGACAGCGACACGTAAAACTTGTGGAGTTCACAGGGAACACGCTGCGAAGACCCCAAGTTGCAAAGAAGCTGACGGCGCTGCGAACCAGCATTCCGTCGCAGAAGCTGCTAAAGAAAATCGAGCCAGTCCCCCCGCGAAGGAGCCGACTGCGTGGGACATGAGCTTGATCGAAAGACAGAGGGCAAGACGACCGTTGTCCTTGCAGCCGACGTGGGGCTAAGCTCGTGAACAAGCTGTCTGTGGAGGTCTTCTTCAAGCAGCGCCATAAAAAGGCCTTGGCAGAGCTTCCGACTGATTGGGAACTACAACGAGCGCGGGCAGCTCCAGAGCAACGGCCCGCCAAAGCCGGCATCTACAAGGGCCAGCGCCTCTTCCTGACGAAGAACATGAACAAGGAGACGGGGTTTGTCAACGGCATGGCCTGCGTGGTGGAATCGCTTGGCAGTCTCGCCATCCACGAACATGTGGAAGTCCCGTTCGGTTGGGCCACGCGAGCACTGTCCATCGCATTCAGGGCCAGACATTGGAGCACGCGACGATCTGGCTCGACGTGGTGGAGTGCAAGCAGCGGGCTACGTTGCCTCTCCAGGGTCAGGACAGCGACTACCTCATCGCTGGCCCCGTGAGTGCCAAGTGTTTCACCCCTGCCATGTAGGAACTGGCCTGTCTCAGTTCACATGGCTGGAAGGGAGAGGCTCAAATTCTCGTGACCGATGGCTTAATGCCCCAAGGCGCGCGCGTGACAAAAAAAATGGAAGGGAGAGGCTCAAAGTGCATATTTTGCAATCCAAACCTTCGTTGCATTCATGTCCTTTGTTTTTGACATCTTTGGCCCTGTCCCGGACCAGCTCACAAGCAAGCTAAATGAGCGTGGCTTGCTGGCCCCCGGACGAGCCGACCAAGGCTGCACCTAGGACAGAGTTTAGACAAGAGCGACGGCGCTGTTTCAATGTCCATGGTTTTAGGGTATTACACTTTAGAGCTTCACTCAAGGGCGCCTTCACGGGCGGTATAGCGGCCAGCGAACCATTTGATAACCCTCAACCATCCAAGTCTCATTTGGCTCCTTTCTTGGCTTGGCCAGCCGCTGGTAAACGGTTGATATGGCCTCCAATTGAAATGTAAAGATCTGGCCTTGCCAAAAACAAAGATCTGGTCTTTTGGCTTTCCAGCCGCTGATAACAGTGTTCGTGTGGCCGTCCAAATCTAAAAGTTCTCCTTGGTGTGTTTCAAAGAGCTCCAATCGCCGACTTCCCGGGTCTGGGCTATGTTTCAATTTCCTCTAGCAGATAAAATTAGCAACCGGGCTTGCGATGACTTCCAGGGTTGGGGGTTTGTCTCCCGCAAAAGGGAAAACATGGGCTCTCACAGCTCAGCTGCTCGGCCGCTGCCTGGTCTCGGCACGCGCTCGGCCGGCTGTACAGCGCGAAGCCGTCCTCGCGTTTAGGGTTTAGGGTTTAGGGTTTAGGGCCAAACCCAGAAAAGCGCCAATGACCAGATCTTTACACTTGGAGCTTGGATGGCCATTTTTGCCTTGCGCCATATGAACAGTTTATCAGCAGCTGGCGAAGCCAAGAAAGGAGCCAACTGACAAGATCTCTACATTTCAAGCCTGGATGGCCATTTTTACATTGCGCCATATGAACAGTCAGAAAGGAGCCCAATGGCCAGATCTTTACATTTCAAGCTTGTGCATTGCGCCATATGAACCGTTTATCAGCGGCAAGCCCAGAAAGGAGCCAACTGACCAGATCTTTGCGTCTTGAGCTTGGATTGCTACTTTTGCATTGCGACGTATGAACAATTTTTCACCAGAAAAGAGGCAAAGATTTGCGCCATATGAACAGTTTATCAGCAAGACTCAACAAAGCCGCAGCAAATCCTAAGACCTTTCCCTTCCCACAAACAGAATCTTTTCTTGGAGAAGACGGGTTCCTAACCTTGAACCTGGGAGAGCCCATGAAACCAAGCCCGGAAAGCTGTTTTTATTGCTAAAGCGGAGATTGGCTATGTGGAGAGCTCCCAGAGGCCAGGGATCAGGATCACCTTTCTCAAAAGGCCCAGTGCCCAATGGAAAGCCCCAGGGGGGGGGAAAATTCTGATAGCAACGTCAATCAAAAGTTTCGATCTCAATCCCACCCACCCGCTACCGGGGGTTCCACACCAGCGCAAATCAACAAATCGAACGCAGACATACTTCCAGGACAGGGAGCGCATCCTCCGCGACACACATGCGGACCGCACCGTGGCCAAACAGCTCTTCCTGCGTCTCTGTACGGTGGTCGATCTTGGCCTGGAAGCGCACGCACCGACTTGGGGAGTTCGCGACAGAGCAGTTTGCCGAACGGTTCGCAGCAGAGATGGCTGCCATGCGGCAGGCTGATTGCCAGAACCACACCCAGCTACTTGCCCAGCTGCGGCAACGGACGGGCGCCCCGTGGAGTATTTGCAGTACGCCCTCAACACTGCACGAGAGAGGAAGCTGATTGACAAGTCGTGCTGCTCCTGGGAGAGCATCGCAGCGCAGCCGTCCTGGCATTCGAGCCCGACGGGCTGTTCCTCTACTGGCCGGACGAGCCGGAGAAACTACGGGGGCTCATCGAGAGTGCGCTGTGCGGCTTCCGCTACACTGTGATGCCGCTACGAGAGGCTTTGCAGGCGGCAGCAAGAGTGATGCGCAGCGGCAGCCCCGGCCTGGAGCGCATGTTTGACCAGGTGGACTCGCGTTGGCTTGAGCACCACGGTATCCTGCGCCAAGCCTTCAGAGGTTCGTTGCAGTGGTTCAGCGCCACACTGAAAACTTTCCTGACTGGAGACAGCGCAATGGACTCTTTTGAGGAAGGCATTCTGATCCGCAACTTGACGGACTACCTCGAACAGGATGCAGGGTTTCGGAGCAACACTCGCTGGGAGTTCACTGGCCAGACTTTCCAGAACGGCGTTGCCAGGTTGAAGTCGAATCTGGGAGAGTCCTCCGCTGCATTCGATGTGGACGGAGAGTCCTGCCGCAAGTACCTGAACTTCTCCGGCAACGTGCTGAACAGTGACGCTGAGTGGTCTCCCATCAGCCCCACATTCAAAATCCCCGCAGCACTAACTGAGCATCAATGGCCGGCCTGGTGGTCCACGGAGGTTTGCGCCGAGCTCTACGCCGTTCTGGCCGAGGTGCGTCGTCAGCAGGATGCGGAGAAGAGAAGGGTGGACTGCACCCTTGGTGAGCAGGTGAAAGCCCGCCTTGACGCCCTCAAGAAGATCTCGCGTTGCAGGTGGTGCACGCCTGGACGGTGGATGACTGGTTGTTTGAGCTGTCGCTGCCGCCGGTGATGGAGCGCTCGGGGTCCCTGATTCGGGGGTGACTGCCATCGAGACAGCGTAGCTCCCCAAGACAGCCTGCATGATGTTGCACAGCGTCTTTTCCGTTCCTGCCCACGCCCTTGGTCCAGGGCTGCCGCCTGCGTACAGGGAACGGACCAACGTTGTGGAGCATGTGTCGGTGTTCCACGACCAGCCCGTGGAAGCGAACCACGCACAGTGGAAGGACATTGAGGCCACGCTGGAAACATCCATTAGCTGCTGTGGCGCCCCCCCAAATGTCCTGAAATGAGCGCCGTCACAGATTTCGTTGCCACGAAGCTGGAGCGAGCGCCAAGGGGAGGTGCCACGCCACGTGAGGAGGTGCACAAGGCGTTGCATGCCTTTGTCAAGAGAAACGCGAAGTCGGTGCGGCGAGCTCCTGAAGCAACTGGGCGTCCTGGAGAAGAGGGGACGCAGCGGCGCCACGCTGGACGGCCGCCGCAAAAACACCTACTATCTGCTCTACATCTTTCCAAAGACGGACGGCTCCAAGGACAGTGAGCCAGCTTCGTTCGCTTGGTGGGTGGCGCAGGGCCTGCAGTTGGAGACGGCAACTGAGTGAGGGGAGGAGGACGGACATGTGCACTGTCCCTGTTTCATCTTGCAGCGAACAGAACAGAAAAAAAGACGGAAGCGATCGAGACGCTTGGTGCTAGCGTGAGAGCTTGACTGCATGACACGCTCCGCCGTACCAGGGGCCCAAAAGCATTTGGATTGTGGACTGCAAGAGTTGCGCCGAGACGTTGCGACAAGCACAAACCGGCCATTTTTTCTCATGTCAGGAAGGAGACAGCACTTTTTTTTTTCTCGGAGGACAAGTGAGACAGTGAGACAAGTGAGACAACACAAAACCCAGCGATTTCTTTGACTTTTTTGCATGAAACCCGCAATTGAAACAATTAACATGGATTGACCAAAGAACGGCCATGTTTTTGATCGTTTTGCTGCATGGAACCTTGTGTTGAGACAACTGATGCAACTGAGACAAACATGAAACCGGCCAATTTGGCTGTCTTGCGCAGTGAGACGTCCGTGGGGCCCAGGATCTGCTCTCCTACACACGTCCTGGTCCGGGCCCGTCCAGGCCAGCAGCGCGCCCGCGATGGCGGCCTGCGTCGGTAGTCCCAACAGCGCGTCCCGCGGTGTAGTAGGCCAACAGCGCGGCCAAGATGGCGCCCTGCGCTGCCCCCGTGCGGTAGTCTCCCACAGCGCGCCCACTTGCGCCGAGGTGTAGTAGGCCAGCAGCGCAGCCGCGAGGGCCGCGTCCGCCGCCGCGACGGAGTAGCAGTCCGCCGTGATGCTCAGCGTGTCGTCGCCGTTGGCCAGCGCGGTTGCGGACGACGTTGCTTCCGCGAGCTCCCAAGTAGTGAAGCCCGCCCAGGCCGGCGCGTTAACAACTCCACCGCTGCCGGAAAGCTGCAGGGCGGCGAGCTCCGCGAGGCTTGCGTCGAGGGCGCTCTGGAGCGTGGTCTCGCTGGCTGAGAGCGCGGCGTTCGTGTACGAGGCCAGCAGCCGCGTCGGCCTTGCCCCCCTGGAGCGCCGTGATGCTGGCGTCCCGGCTAGCAAGCTGCGCTGCGACGAAGCTCGGTGGCGAGACAGGGCATTTGCTATCTTGGTGTCTACCTCCAGTGGAGTCCAGTCCGTCCACCGTGGAGAGCAGGGCGGCCAGCGCGCTGGCGTCGCCCCGAGGAGGGCGGCGTCCAGGGCTGCCGTGGTGATTCCGCCTTGGAGGCCTGCAGCCCCAAGATGGAGGCGTCTCTTGCAGGAGAGCGTTGGCCACCTTGGTGTCTACCTCCAGCGGCGTGATCCTCGCCGCTATGTCTAGGGAGTGCTGGTCCACCACCATCTTGAGGCCGTAGTTGGCCGCCACCGTGGCCAGCGTGGCGTTGTTGGCAGGCGATGGAGCCGTTCATGGCCGCCGTGGTGCTGTAGTTGGACAGCTCAGGTCCACGCTGTGCGGGGTGCTCTTCGTGGCCAACGTTGAAGGCCGACTGGTCTGCCTTGTTGGAGAGACCCGTGGTCAGCAAGCTCTGCAGCGCGCGCGGCCACCTGTCCGTGGTGGCCAGGGCCGCCGCCGTGGCCAGGGGCGCAATTGCCGGCGCCAGCGCGCTGCTGTCCAGCTTTGAGGCCAGCTCTGCGGTGACTCTGTCGTCCAGGGACTGGATGGCCGCAGGCTGCCGTGTTCACCGCCAGGTCCGTTACTTGCGCGTAGGGCGTCAGAGCCAGGGCCAGCTGCCCTGCGGTGACGTGCGTACCGTCAGTTACCTCTCCGTTGTCCAGGACCTCCGGAATATTGCCGGTGACAGGTCCTTCAAACATGTTTACATATGTTTTCGCCGACGCCTTAGTCCAGTGGCTAAGGCGTCGGCCAAGGAGCTAAGCGCTTCTTACTCCGCACGGGGCTCGATTCCTGCCGCGAGCGCAGTTGAGTACCATTCAGGCTCCGCGGCTTCGGTCTTGGAGCGAGGCCGGCTCCGCGGCTTCGGTCTTGGAGCCCGCACCAGGCCCGCACCAGGCCCGCACCAGGCCCGCACCAGGCCCGCGCCAGGGTTTTTTTCGGAAGTAGCGTGGCTGCAATGTGACTCAATTTGATTTGACCGGTGGCGCCGGTCAATCGCAAGACCTCACCGGTCAAATAAAAAGCGTGCTACAGTCGTCGTCCCACGCGACAACTGGAAATTTTTTTTCCTTACAGTCGTCCCCCCACGGGGACAACTGGATTTTTTTCCTGGACCTCGGGTGGCGCAAGCGCGGCCGGGTTGAGGCTTCTATGCCGGGCAGGTGGCGCGGCCGGGAGGCTTCTATGCCAGGCAGGTGGCGCGGGGTGGCGCACCCGGAGTGCCGAACCGCCGCCGTATGACCGTATGATCCGTATGATCCGTATGACTCGGCGGGCTGGCGTGTCAGGTGGCGCGGCTAAAATGTGATGCTCGAAAACATAAGTGGCACTTATGTTTTCGAGCGAACTGCGCAGCGACTGCAGCGACAGCTGCAGACTGCGCCGCGCGAAAGCGCGAACACAGAACATAGCACCTCTCTCTTTAGAGGGGGTTTCCCAAATGGATTCTATTCTACCTGAGAGGCTCCTGGCACTCGTCCGTCCAGGAAATGACCTCGTCCTGCGAAGGATGCAAAGTCTAAAACACTGCATGCAGACGTGTGTGGCTGCAAAATAATGACCCCTAGATGCGGTTTGGCAAAATGCCCAGCAGCTGCCTTTGTTTCTGCAAGGCGAGCCCCCTCAAAGGAAACCCTGGCTGGCTTTTTTGGTTGGCTTCTGGCTGGCTTGGCTTGGCTTCTGGTTGGCTCCTGGCTGGCTTTCTGGCTGGTTTTGGTTGGCTCCTGGCTGGCTTTCTGGCTGGTTTTGGTTGGCTCCTGGCTGGCTTTCTGGCTGGTTTTGGTTGGCTCCTGGCTGGCTTTCTGGCTGGTTTGGCTTGGCTTCTGGCTGGCTTTCTGGCTGGTTTGGTTTGGCTTCTGGCTGGCTTTCTGGCTGGTTTGGCTTGGCTTCTGGCTGGCTTTCTGGCTGGTTTGGCTTGGCTCCTGGCTGGCTTTCTGGCTGGTTTGGCTTGGCTTTCTTTTTTTTCCCTGTTTTTTTAGCTCGCCTTGCAGAAACGCAGCTGCTGGGCATTTTGCAAGCATATCTAGGGGTCATTATTTTGCAGCCACACGCCTGCACGCAGCGTTTTAGACTTCGAATCCTTCGCAGGACGAGGTCATTTCCTGGACGGACGAGTGCCAGGAGCCTCTCAGGTAGAGTAGAATCCATTTGTGGAAACCCCCTCTAAAGAGAGAGCGTGCAAACACGCAGCCGCGAACAAAGCATCCCCCACACCCCCCCCAGCAGAGGCGTCCCGCGCGGGACACAGTAGAAAACACGCGAAAACCAAGCAAAACATGCCAAAACCAAGCAAATGTCACGCCATGCAAAATCGTGCAAAACTAGCTATTACTCCGGCCCGTATATAGATGTACGGGCTGGAGTAAATGCATTTTTCCAGCGCAAAACCGTGTAAAAAAGCTATTCTCCCCGGCCATACATGCGCGTATGGCCGGAGAATGCGCGGCCGGACAAAAAAAATGGCCCCGGAAAAAAAGAATGGCAAGTTGGGCGAGACAACGAACAGATCACGGAGGCCGCGGACGGCGGCGCCCGGGCTTGCGCGGGGGCGGATGGAGCCGTCGTGCTAAACTTGCGGCAGCATCTCTTAGGCCTTTGCCAACAAGGGGCACGGTGTGGGACTTTGTCAACGCGCGGAGGCTGCTGACGGCACCTACCCCTGTGCTGGGCTTTGAGCACTGCCTGGTGGCCAAGGCCCGGCGCATTCTGGACGCAGGTAAGACGGACTGACGCAGCGGCTGTTAAAGCGCTTTACGGAGCGGCTGCGGCGTTGTCAATGACGCCCTGCTTACCTTCTCCGTCCACAGGTCGGTGTTGCTTGCAAAGCACACTTCAACTCTCTTCACCCCATCGTTCTGGAAGTTGCCTTGTGGAAGCCAGCACCTTCACATCTACCTTGCGCACCAGCGCGCCCTGATAGAAGTTCTCGATGGACATGAATTTCCCCCTTCAAAACGTCCAGCCCAAGTGCAAGCTTTATGGTTAAAGTTCGGCTTTTTATCTTGTGGAGAAAAAAATCCGGTTCAGTGGTTGAGAACCCGGCCACCGGGCTGAAGACCCGGCCGTTTATGGAGCGCCTGCCCTGCAAGTGCAGACGCGGCTGTGGACCACATGCGCTGGAGGCAAGGCCTGCGCAGGCTCGGCAGCCGCTGCGGCGCGTGGCAGAACGGCAGGCACGTCGCCGCGCAGCGGGGGTCCCGGCTGATGGAGGGGCAGTGCAAGAGGGTCAGCCAGTCACGCGAGCTGCTCTACAGCGCGACAAGATTGCGCACGCGGCCACGGCGGAGCTTGCGGAGCGGCTGAGTCTGGCTTTCTCTAATCCAAGGGGCCTGGAACAAAGCCCATTTTTCCGTGTTTTTGCATGTTTTTTTTGTGGTGTCATTCAACGCCAAAAAAGGGCGTGGAAGGAAAGCGTGCCTTTTTTTGGTATTTTTTTGGGCGCTGCAACTTGTAGCCGCGTTGAAGGGCAGCGGGCTTTTTTTTTTTTTTCATTTGTGTGGCGCTGCCACTCAACTTCAAAAACGAAGTTGAAGGGCAGCGGGCCTTTTTTTCGCTTGTCCAGCTTGTTGGGAACCGGGCAAGGTCGCCCGAGCGGGTGCTGACACCACTTAGTGGCATCTTGGGCACGCGCTCGGTTGGAAAGCCGGCAATGAGGCTGTGGCGCAGGTAGCCCACGCGGCCGATGTCGATGTTGCGCACCGTGTCGTCGTAAGTACCCGCAAGAACCGAGAGGAAGTGGAAGTGCTCCGAGGCTCCTTTTATAGGGTTGTGAGCTGCCCAGCTGCATCTGCGACTCCAGGCCGATGGGGGCCACGTCCTGCCCCGGGTTGGCCAGCAAGTGGATGTTGGAGCCCGCGTCGTTGTCCCAAAAAGTCACGAACGCGCCCATGAGTTTCGTGAAGGCGCGCGCCACGGTGACGTTGTGCTCCGCCACTCCGTTCGGG